TTTTTTTTTTTTTGCTGGAACCGGGGATTGAATTCAGGCGCTTGTGCTTGCGAGGCAAGCATTTATTCTACTGAGCTATGGGGGCCTGCCCATTAGCTCAGTTGTTTCAGTGCCTGCTTAAACAAAGCACTCAGGCTCAAGATGCTCTGGTTTGAACCCAGTTTCTCACAGGAAACCAGAGATGCTCTCAAGGCATCTTCAGACCGCTAAAAAAAAAAGAAAATCCTACTGAGCTAATCTCCCCTGCCCCATGGTTAACTTTCTTAGCCTTGCTAAAAGTAGTGTGGCTTTTAGAGATGCTGACATGTTTCATGATAAAATGTCATGATTTGTCTAAGTTAAAATACTTCTGCTAACATAAGTGAACAAGTGGATGCGTTGGGGGCCCATTGGGAGGTGGGCAAATCATGTCTGTGGACAGGCACCACTGCCTGCTGCACTTAGTGCAATGCAGCTCTCTGACCTCACCAGCTAGGCCTGCCCTGTATGACAGTACGGTCATACAGGGCGGTTGCTGTCATTCAGCCCCCCCCCCCCCCCCCGCCTCTGCCGCAGCCCGTCCTTGTGTTGGCATGGTACCTTTCCACAGCCACACCTATGTGCTGGCTTTGTGCCTGAGTCCCCGTGTCTTGGCCTAAATCTCACCTCTGACAATCCCACCAAAAATCGGAAGTAGATTGTTATCGGAAGTAGATTGTTTCTGGGCCCCTGACTCCTACTGAGGGTGCATCCCCATGTGGCATGTAGGGTAGATGTTTTGTTTGTGTTGCGTCTGCTTGGTGACACTGCCGGCCACCACCAGGTCCCCAGGGGCCGCGCCTAGGTGCACCTGTGCTCGCATCTGTGCTAGGGATGTCGCAGCTGCTTTCTGCTGGAGTGTCACCCCACCTGGAACGCGCCGCTACTCCCTCCGCACAACCCCAACTGTGATCCATGCTCCTGCGCGGTTGCCTCCCGGAATTGCACTTCTCTCCCGGCGGTCCTTGCGCTGCGGTCCCGCCCATGAACCCGGAGGCGTGGCTGCAGACCCTGAAAACCTCTTGGGTCAGTGCCCGAGGCACCCTCGCCACCTTGGGCGCTGCGCGGCGTCCTTGCTTGGGTGCGGGACCTGAGACTTGTCCCTCCTATCTTGGGCTCGCTTGGGGCGGGTGAGTGACGTAGGTTGAGGAGGCCGGGCCAGAGTCCACTGGATCTGGGAGCCCGAGGAGCAGCGGGGTGCATGGAGCCCCCTCAAATAGGGCAGCGGGTCAGTCACACAGGGATCGTATGGCCCGCAGTGGCTGGACTTGACCTACGCGCTGTGAGGAAGCCCAGGGGTACAGGGGTGAGCATGATGGGGACCGCTGCCTCAACGAAATCCAGCTCTCCTGGCTTCTGCGCTCTCCAGGTGGAGACAGCATCTCTGGCCAACCCCAGCTGATTCTGACTCTTGCGCGTCCTCTTCTGGCGAATACAAGTGGTAACACCATCTCATCCGGCGCCACCCGCCCTGCTTGTCGCCCCCTCGCAGGATGCCCGAGGGCCCCGAGCTGCACTTGGCCAGCCGCTTCGTGAACCTGGCCTGCCGCGGGCTGGTGTTCTGCGGGGCGGTAGAGAAGTCCCCGGTCAGCCGCAACCCCGAGGTACCCTTCGAGAGCAGCGCCTACTGCATCTCGGCCACAGCCCGGGGTAAGGAGCTGCGCCTGACGCTGAGCCCCCTGCCCGGGGCCCAGCCCGCTCGAGAGCCGCTGGCCCTGGTCTTCCGCTTCGGAATGACCGGCTCCTTCCAGCTGGCGCCGGCGGAGGCGCTGCCACCCCACGCCCACCTGCGCTTCTACACAGCCTCCCATGCCCCACGTCTGGCCCTGTGCTTCGTGGACATCCGCCGCTTTGGACGCTGGGACCTGGGGGGCGAGTGGCAGCCAGACCGCGGACCATGTGTCCTGCTGGAGTATGAACAGTTCAGGTAGGACTGGCACCCGGTGTGAGGCCAAGGCAATGTTCCCACCCTGGGTCTGCACCCTTAGCCCGGGAGAGGAAAGGCCATTGCCTGAACACAGAACCACTAGTATAGGCTGCAGCTTGTACCCAGCCCACCACCGTTTCTTGGTGCTCCCTCTCCCTAGAAGGGTACTTAGTAAGGCTGCAGCCAGGAGTGGCCCACACCTACAACACCAGTACTCACAAGGTAAAGGCAGAATTGCTGAGCTCCAGGCTAGCCCGGGCCACTTGAGACCCTGGGAAATCGGTTAGGTTTTATGTTGACTCTTGTGTGCCCTCTTCTGGCGAATACAAGTGGTAACACCCATCTCATCTGGCGCCACCGGCCCTGACATAAAACCTGAGGAGCGGCTGTGCATGTAGCTCAGTGGTAGAGCCTTGCTCAGTATGTATATTATATGGCTCTGGGTTCAGTCTCCAGATTCACCAAAGGGGGCGGGATGGGAGGCAGCACAGGGATTGTTTTAGAAGGCTGCTTCCAGGGGACTGCTTCATGACAGCTCTTGAGTCAGGTTTTTTGATCTCCCATATACTGTCAGCCTGAGTCTGTCTTGGGGTCTCCTCTGAGTGTCCCTTGCTGCAAGCCACCTGGGATCTGATACAGGTCTCCTGAGGTGACATGGCACCAGGAACTTCCATCCCCTCAGAGAGGCATGAGAGTTAGTTAATTGGTTTGTGCCAGCTTTGCCCTGGGCTGGGTATTACCATCAGATGAACACATGAGCTGGGAAGAATCCAATAGGTGAAGGTGCAGAGGGTGACTGGTGGCTGGTGTGGAGGAGCTGGGTATATCTGCTTAGAGAGGGACAGAGCCCACATATCTGAGGAGAGAATTCTAATTGACAGGAGTCATAGAGGCTGGCATGGCCTTAGCACGTTCTCCTTCCTGGGGGGCAGGGGTACAATGTACCTATGGCTGGGCCTCAAAGACTTAGTTGCATCTCTGGCTTGCTCAGATGTGAACCTGGGTGTATACCCTGAAACAGGTCTGTCCCTGGTCTTGGCTTTTGTGTACCTTAACTTTCTTGGACAGCTAGGAAGGCCTTCTTGCCTTCTACAGAGCTCCAATCTGGACCTGAGTAGAGGGCTGCAGAACTGGCCTGCTGGAAGCTTCTCTCTTGGACAGCAAGGCTATTTTGGGGGTCCTCCTGTTAGGGAGCCTGTGAGGCCAGAGAAGCACCTAGGGAACCTTCCATTCTCTCTTGCCATCTCCTCTCTTACCCCAGACTTGGTCTTCTAGCTTCATTGTACTCTCATACTCTCAGCCCAGCCAGTCTACCCTGAATTTTTCCCTAAAGAAGCATTTTGCAAAAATACTTCTTTGGGGCTAGGGGAAGGATCCCCAACCTTTGGAAGTGGTCAGCCAGATGCCCCTTGGGGCAGGGTCAAACCTTTATGTGTGGCTTAAGCCACCAGGGTTCTCTGGATCACACGTGCAGAGGCTCTATGCTCACTCACCTTTGTGCTCAAGTGTCCCAAGCACCTGGCACGTGTATAGAACCATGTGCTCCCTGAACATGCTGCTTCTGATCATTTTTTATTTTTATAAACTTAAGTCTCATATTGTCCCCACTGAGGCTCCAGTTTCCAAATAGCATCGAGGCAAGGAGAGCTAGGACTTAAATTCCTCTTTTTTTTTAATTTCTTTCTTATTTATTTATTTACATTTATTTTGTGTGTGTGTGTGTGTTTGTGGCCAGCTCAGCCCACCAGGGGGCGGGGCTGGCTGGCATGTGGTGCTGGGGGATCAAACCGCGGTCCCTGTGCTTTGCTAAGCGTGTTCCAAGTAGGTGCTTTAGACCACTGAGCCATCTCTCCAGCCCCTAGATTCCTCTTCTTGCGCCTAGGAAGTTTCTCCCAGCTCCTCCCCCATACCGCGGGAGTCACAGGCCTCATACCCCAGGCCATATTTCCCAGGGAGAATGTGCTCCGAAACCTGGCAGATAAGGCCTTCAACCGGCCCATCTGTGAGGCCCTCCTAGACCAGCGGTTCTTCAATGGCATTGGCAACTATTTGCGAGCAGAGATTCTGTTCCGGTGAGTAGGTGGGCCATGGGTATGGGCTTGGGGGGCAGGTGTGCCCATTGTTGAGGCTCAACATGGCCGCTTTGCTTCCCTGCTATGCCAGGCTGAGGATCCCGCCCTTTGAGAAGGCACGCACAGTTTTGGAGGACCTGCTGCATCACCGGCTGGTGAGGGTGCCCCTGGGATGTGGGGCTGTGGTTTGGGTATGGGCATTCCAAGCTTAGTTCCACATAAGGAGGATGGGGAGAGGACAAGCTGCTTTGGGGCCCTGCCCCAAGCTGATGGCCAGGTTTTGCTTGCCCCTCTCCAGAGCCCGGAGCTCACTCTGAGCCAGAAGATCAGGGCCAAGCTGCAGAACCCAGACCTGTTGGAACTTTGCCACTTGGTACCCAAGGAAGTGGTCCAATTGGGTGAGGCCCAGAGATCCAAGACAGCCTGTGACCTCTGCTGTGCAACCTGGGCAGCTGTCTTCAAGGGCTTGGATCCCCCACTGGGGTGGAGTTCATGAACTTCTTGGTCAGTGCCTGTCTCCTTTAGGCTGCCAGAACAGGCAGGGCCACTGCAGGCTAAGGCAGGCATGGGCCAGAGTGGGGAAGGCATAGCCTTGAGGATACAATGAGTGGCAAGAGGGGAGCTTGGCCCCTGACTCAGTCACAGCTGAGGTCCCACTCTTCCTACTCATAATCAGCAGCCCTTCAACCTCTGCTGGGTGGGTCCCTGCATCCCACAGGAGGCAAAGGCTATGGGCCAGATCATGGGGAGGAAGACTTCGCTGCCTTCCGAGCCTGGCTGCAGTGCTACAGTGTGCCGGGGATGAGCTCCTTGCGGGACCGGAGTGGCCGCACCATCTGGTTTCAGGTCTGGGCTTTGTTGCTCACACTGGCACACAAAATCCAGGGAAGCTGGTGGGGTGGAGAAGTCTGGAGCCCATGGAGGTCCCCAAGGGCCACATTGTTCCCATGATACTCCTCCCCTCTGCCAAATCCTGGGTCTCTAGACAGGAAGCTCTGAGGCTTGATTCTAAGCAAAACTGTTCCTCTAAACACAGGCCAATTTGATAATACTGCTTCTTCTGTTTAGGGGGATCCTGGACCCCTGGCCCCAAAAGGTAAGCAACTGCTGATGTAACATACTAAGGAGCCACCCTATGCAGTGGGTGGCTAGGGAAAGGGCTGAAGCTACAGGACACAAAACCCCAGCCAAGTATCCTGCAGGGGGCAAATCCAGAAAAAAGAAATCCCAGGAAACCCACCCAGGACCCCTGGAAGAAATGGAGGTACAGTTATCATCCCTTTCCATGCAGCCCTTCCCTGGCTGTAACTCCCAGGCTGGGCTCATGGCCAGTTGCTTGCCCCTGATGCAGAGGTGGGTGGGTATTGACCAACCTATGGCTCCTCTGAGGGAAGTCCACCAGGGATCCTCAGGACTTGTGGGTCTTTTACCCAGCACCCTCCACCTCTGATCAAGGGCCCTTCTAAGACACCAGGGGCTGAGCAAGACCTTCCTGAGGTGACTACAGCCTGGCAGCCTGAGGGTCCAGGCCTCCAACTTGACCCAGGAGCTCCCACAGTCCGTGAGAAAGGGAGGAGGCGGCGGCGGCAGGCCACCACAGGTGGGGAAAGTGGGCCTTGGGAGGCAGGTGGGATGCAGAGGTGGGGTAAGGCTGTTGGGCAGGCCCAGTCGGGGTCCCAACACACCATCTCCTCTTCTCTTCCAGACCGCCGCAGACCCCAAAAGAGGAAGGTTGACACCCCATCTGAGGAGCCTGGGGACACCATAGTCTCTTAGCTGGTGTCCTTGCTTGCACTCACTCTTTCGGGTGCCCTGCTGGGAACCTGGGCCTGTCTGAGTTCCTACAAGCAACATGGAAGGGCTGCATGGTTGCAGCCTGTGGCTGTTCTCTGCTCAACTGTCGAGTTTTTAATTGTATCCCACATATTCCACATTTTTAAAGACTACATGAAAAATGCAGTATTTTTAAATGAATGAATAAATCGGAACTTTCTGGAACTTCTTGGGCTGGTTGCAGGTCTACAATGGCTAAGGTTGTTTTTTATTTACTTTCTTTTTTTTTTTTTTTGGCAGAACCTGGGATTGAACTCAGGCCCTTGCACTTGCCAGGGAAGTGCTTATTCTACTGAGCCATCTCCTCGGCCCCTATTTACCTTAAGACAAGATCTTGCTATGTAGCCCAGGCTGGTCTTGAACCTATCATGATCCTCCTGTCTTGGCATCCTAACTTCAGGGATTATAGACATGTGCTGCCATGCTTGACTCAATAGCTATGTTGGAATGAAGCCTGCTGTCTAGCCAGTCCTGGGGATGCCCTCCCTGGCAAGGCAGACAGTGTCCCTACCTATCCTCAAGGTTCTGGCTATCAGCACCTGGGGGGTGGTGCACCACAAACAAAATATCTAGTATACAGCCAAGGTTCCAAGCTCCTCCAGGCCAAGTCCAGATTGGTCACAGCTGCTCTCCTATGGGCCCAGCTAACATGCACTTACCTGGCCTTCTCCCAGGCACTCTGCCTTTTACCTCATGGTCCCCAGGCTCTGGGGTGTTACCCACACCCTACACACCCAGTAACCTTAGATCTTGCCCTGGCTCCAAATCCCTGGGAAGAAACAGTCCCCTTCTCCCTGAAAGCTGAAGACAAGCCCCGAGGACAACCAGCAGGAGCTACAAGCAGGGCTGCTGCTCACCTAAGAATTTATTATGCCAGAGGTGACAGGTCCTTGTTTTAGGCTGGGGAAGCAACTGGGTCCCAAAGCCTTACACAAACAAAACATTACCCCTAGGTACTCAGTTTGATGGAGGCTGGAGCACAAGCACTAGAGACCTCACTTGGAAGGGAGAAAAGGTGACCTTCAGGCGTGAATCTTGAAAGGACAGCTGACCAGCAGGATCTCTACGTTCCAGGAGGTCGCAGCTATGGATCAGGAGAGGTCATCAGGGCCAGAAGGGGGTGGGACTCGCACCTTCAACCCCACCCCATCCCTTCACTCACAGGACCGCCTCCTGAACAGGAAGCGATGTGTACACCCAGCAGTCCACATGGCTGCCATAGGCCTCGTACAGTCGCAGGACCAGCGTGCAGTTCTGGGTTGTGGCCTCAGCCTGGGGAAGGAGGCAGGTAGTGTGCAAGCTGCAGGATGGCCAGCCTGGGACTCCGACTCCAGAGAGCTTTCCCTTGCTTACTTGTTTGACAGTCTCCAACACGACAGCTGGTGAGGAGAGCGAAAAGGCACTCCAGGCAGTGGCTGGGGCTGGGCCTGGGACTGGCAGTGCCAACAATGGGAAGTTGAGGCTGTAAGCAGCAGGGATAACACCAGCATCCTGGAAGGAGCCTGGCATGGCCAGAAAGGCATATATGGTGAAAACGAAACCCTCCGCTGGGGCTGGGCTACTAGTCCTAAGGAGGGTGGCTTATGTGAGGCTCAGATAAGGATAGGGGCTATCAGGGCATAGGAAAATCCTGTGTGCCTGGTACTCACCCTCATGTGGCATCAGTGCATAGGTAAATTCGTGGCACCCCATATCAGCAGTGGCATCAGGGGCTTTAGGAGCCCGAAGGCTAGGGTGGGAGGGAGGGCAGGGCTGGAGTTTGGCCCAGAAAGCCCAGCCCTCCCCTGCAACAGCCCAGCCTCAGAGGGCCCACTCACAGTGATAGGCTGAGGATGTTGCCTCGTGCTGAGGCCCCATACTTGCAGTTGTTAAGCAGGGCCAGCCCAAAGCCATGCTCAGACAGGTCCATCCAGCGGTGGGTCCATACCTGCACAGGGCAGGCCCACACCCACTTGGTGATACCATTCCTTGGGCCCCTAGTCTTTGGTACACCTGTCACTAGGAATGAATTCTAGTCCTCACTTTAGCAAACCTTACGCATGCCACTCAACCTGTCTGCCTTAGCCTCCTGAGTATTAAACTAATGTACATGGGCTGGCCAAATAGCTCAGTGGATTAAAGCACCTGCAAGCAGGTGCATGGGCCAGGGGTTTGATCCCTGGGCTTGCCCCTGGGGCATGCTGAGACAGCAATTAAGGCTGGGCAATTGAGACTGGGCATGGTGGCACGCGCCTGTAATCCCAGCTCTTGGGAGGCTGTAAACAGGTGGATCATTACAAGTCTGATCTAGTAGTGAGACCCTGAACACCCTGTAGACCCTTTCCTAAAATTAAAGAAAAAAACAAAAACCTAAAAACTAAATGTACAGGGCTGGTGAGATGGCTCAGTGGTCTAAAGCACCTACTTAGAACAAGCTTAGCTAAAGCACAGGGACTGCGGTTCAATCCCCCAGCACCACATGCCAGCCCGCCCCGCCCCCTGGTGGGCTGAGCTGCCCCCCCCCAAACAAATAAAATAAATAAATTAAAAAAAAACCAAAAAAACTAAATGTACAGCATTTAGCCTGAGCCCTGGCACAGGCAGCTGTTGGTGCTCTTCTTTCTCTCCCACACCATGGAGCCTGTCTCCCAGCCAGGGAGGGAGGGTCCATGCCCCTTTCTCCTCTTCTTCATGGCAGACCTCAAATCGAGCCCAGTCCCAGGACGTGTTGGAGTGCGTAGGCCGCTGCAGGTGCCCAAATTGGATCTCATAGGTGGCCTGGGTGCTCCGCACGCGGGCAGGGAATTCCACCTTTAGGAACTTGTGGGCCTCATGCCAGTGTACCTGATAGCACAAGGGCAGACAGGGTCATTCCTAGCTACAGCCAGTCCCTCCTCACCAGCCACTCCTGGCAACAATGGCCACAACCCCGTCCCAGCTACCTCAGTGTGGAAACGGACATAGGGGCAGCCAATGTCCAGCACAACCTCCTGGCTGAGCCGACTGTTGGGGCTGATCTGTAGCAGAAACCAGGCGCTGCCCCGAAGGCCACCTTCAGTGCCTATAGACAGGGTCCCTGCCTGGCCCACCACAGGCTTCCTAAAGGACAGAGGGGGACACTGAGCCAGAGTAGCTGATATCCCCACCTCCTGTTTTTGAAGTCCCGCCCAATGGATACCGTGTCTCTAGGTGGTAGTCCATGACGTCCCAAGCATCCCAGTACAAGGGGACATCATCAAACAGCACAAACTGGTTTCCCAGAGCACCTTCAGCAATGGCCTCCCTGAAAGGACATGGGAATTGGCACCTCACACCTGTATGACCTTGTGTGCTCCAACTATACTTGATGGAGTGGGGCAGGATAAGTGGGGGCAGGGGACTCTTGGACCAGACTGCCTCACTCATAGTGGGTCCCTAGTGAGGCCTTAGTGGGCTGTTGTGGCCAAGGGATGGGAGCACAGGTGCATAGAAAGGACAGCAAGGGGTTAGCACCTGCCAGAGGCCACCAAGACTAGGGACGTCAGGTGGCCAGTTGGATCCAGTCTCACTCGGATGATGCCGTTGTCCAGAGTCACAGAACCATCAGTCTTGGGTGGGCAGGATTTTGAAGCTGAGCCTGAAGGGGCTTCCCACACACCCCTGACCCCCCCTCCAGCTCCAGTCCCCCAGCTCCAGGCTCAGGAGCACCAAGGACAGCCTTGTCTTCCCGGGAGCTGCTGGACTCACCTCCTGCATCACAAACACTGGCTGCTGGGGCTGCAGAGGCTGCGGTGAGGAAGGGGTGGGAGCAGGTGCATAGCCCATGCTAGGCACGGTCACCAGGGCTGAGGGTGAGGCCCAGCTGTCAGTGCGAGCCCCACTGATCATGCTGACACCTCATTCAGGTCAGAGCAGGGTGGTAAAGGACACCGTTCCTACCCTCTGGCATGAAGCACCCCAAGACCCCAAGAGACCCCCATGGGAGTATGCTTTTTCTGGTCTGGTGGGCTAGATTCCTCCTCTTTGCTCTTACCAAGGCTCTGGGCCCCACCAGGCTTGGGCAGGGACAACACTTCTGTGCGCTTCCAGGGCAGTGTGTTGACAACCAGGAGGCCCTCAGGCCCAGGCTCCCCAGCACACAAAGCACCAGCTGCAGCGCTGAGCAGTGTATTGCCATGGGAACGGATATCTGTGGAGGGGGGCTAGTTACGGGATGTTGGGTTTGGGAGACCAGTGTTCCACAGGGGGATGTCCTGGGCCCAGCTACGGGGTACAGAGGATGGCAGGACTTGTCGGCCTTACCTTCATAGTGTTTCATGGCATCCTCTGCCACCAGCTGGATGCAGCTTCCAGTCACCACATCATGGAACTGGTTCAGGAGCAGAAGCCTGTGGAGGGTAGCGAGGGTGGGGATGGGATGCTGCAGCAGCAGGGGCAGAGGGGTCTAGGCAGGGGCAGGTGCCAGGCTGACCTCCAGAGGTGCTGCAGCTGGGTTACTGGATACAGGAAGTGGGCACTGCGGGCCAGAGCCAGGCTGCTGAGCAGCTCAATATCATGCAGGATCCGCTCGCATTCCCGGTTCCCCTTCTTGATCTGTGCCCAGGGTGCAAGAGTAGGTAAGTATGGGGACTGTCTAAATATCCCATTAATAGTCTACAACCACCTGAGCTGTAAACCCCTCGCCCACCTCACCCAGCCCTTCTCCTTTAGCACAATGGGGCCCTAGCCCTTGCTTGTCTGTCTTTGGATGAACAGTTGGCCTTTGCCCCTGCTCTGCCCTCAGTTGGCTACAGACCTGGGCATGGGTGGTGTAGGTACCATTGTGCAGCTCCAGGAAGAGCTCCCCGACCCACGTGCACAGCTGGCCCTGGTCACTTTCTAGAGCCTTGAAGAGCTGGTCTGGGGAGGACAGCTGCACCCTGAAGGAGGGGACAGCCTGGGCCTCAGTTTTCTACTCCAAGAGCATAGACAAGAAGTATAGCTCTAACATGGGACTGTCCCCCTCCCCCTAGCTTCCTATACACACAGCGCTGGTTCAGGAAACTCAGGAACTGCCCTCTCTTGGGCTCAGGCTCCTGCCCATCATGGCAATCCTCCTACCCATTAGGTGAAGCCTAGAGAAGCTGGCCGGCAGGACTTGGGGAGGACAAGGTTGGGCAGAGGAGCTGAGTCCAGTGTAGGAGCAGAGAGAAGGCTAGAGACCAGGGCTGAAGTGGCTACACAAGAGCCAGGCCTGACCTGGGCAGCCCATCGGTGTTGTTCAGGCGCCTCAAACGGTCCAGCATGGTCTGAGTGGGGCCGCCACCTCCATCACCGAAACCGAAGAGAAAGGCACTGTGGTTGGCCCGCCCCTTGTCCTTGTTGTTGTTCACAGTCTTTAGCACCTGGACAGAAGCAAAGAGTATGGGCCTACTTTGCTTAGGATGGCTGGCCCTCTTCAGCTTCCCCTCACCAGGCCCTAGGTGCCCCTCACCTCCTCCACAGTGCCCTGCATTCCATAGGAGTCGCCAGGTGGAAAATGAACTAGCACACGTGAGCCATCCAGTCCCTCCCAGAGAAAGTTGTGGTGCTAGAGCAGGGGACAGAGAGAGGGGAGAGGCTAGCACCAGGCTGAACAGGGTGGCCTTCCCAAAAGGGGCCTTGCCCTGGCTTGCCTGCTGTACAATGCTGATGGAGTGCCATCCCCTTACCCCACTCCCCATGGGATTTGATAAGCCTGGGCACAGATAACAGGCTTGCTGAGACTCTGACCCTGGGATGTGCTCACAGGGAAGGAGTTCACCAAATTCCAGCTCAACTTCTGGGTTAGGAAGCGTGTGATGCCACAGCCACGCATGATCTGGGGGAGCTGTGCTGAGTAGCCAAACGTGTCAGGCAGCCAGAACTGTGGAAAAGAGGGTTCTGTATGGTCCTTGGTCCATCTCTCTCCACCTCTGCCTCACAGGCACAGCAGCTCCAGTGGGTAAAGAGCCACACAGAACCCAGCCTCAGCTCCCAGCTCCCTGGGACAGCCCAGCCATACCATGCCCTGCTGGGGGCAGCCCAACTCACCTCAGAGCACAGCTTCCCAAACTCCCGCAGAAAGAAGCTCTGGCCCTGCAGGAACTGTCTCACCATGGCCTCTCCACTGGGCAGATTCCCATCCTGGTGAGGGGTAGGAGGCAGCTGGTCAGCTTGCTTGAGTGGGTAGAAGGCAGGCAGAGGTGTAGGCCAGCTCCACATCCCCAGTGCAGGACAGGCTGGGCCTCAGGAAGTGCCCACTTCCTCAAGTCCTGCCAAGTGTGAGTGCGCATCTGCCTGTGGTGGTGCTGGGATCAGACCCGCCTCCCTGGAAACCCCAGGGGACAATTAAGTCCTACCACAAAGAGGGTAGGAGCAGCCTCTAGAAAATGACCCACCAGGCCAAGGGGCTGGCCACCTGGGGGAAGGCACTGCTTTGGGGACTGGGACTGAGAGGAGGTCAATGCACTCACCATCTCTACCCAGGTGCCTCCCACGGGCACAAACTGCCCTTGGCAGGCAAATGCCTGAAGCTGGGCATACAGGCTGGGGTAGTGGCTCTTTACCCATTCGAGCTGCTGTGCCTGTGAGGCAGAGGTAAAGAGAGATGGGCCAAGGACCATCATGCAGGGCTAAGAATCTGGAGCTCTGGGGCTCAAGGACCCTCAGGACCCACTCTGCCCCACAGAGCCACCCTGACCTGGGAGCAGACAAAGATGAAATCGGCATTCTGTTCCATGAGCTTCAGGGCTGTCACCCAGCTCCGGGCACATTTCCGCACAGTCTCCTTGAAGGGCCACAGCCAGGCTGGAGAGGGAGAGAGCAAGAGTGTGCAGTGCCAAGGTCTCAAAAGACCCCTGTCCCTTCCCTGTCCCAGCACCCTGTCACTCTAGCCCTCCTCATGGCCATGATCTCCTCAGCTGTCTCTTCACATTCCCTGCATGGTGGGAGAGGGTGGGGAAGGAGACCTCAGTTTCTTTACCTATCTAGAAAAATGCAACCTGACACAACACACCCCACAATGACACAACAGAGAACCTTGTTCTGCGATTCAGAAGTAGGACCAGAACTGACCTATGATAATGGTGCTTGGGCCCAGTCTCAAGTCTATACCTACTGTCTCTGAGGACTGGCACAATCTTGTCAATCATATCCTGCTCCATTCAGCTGGGTTAAGTGCCTCGCCTGGGTTTCTCACAAGGTTCTCTATGCATCACCACAACTGTGGTCACTCTGTAGTCATCACCTCTACAATGTTACCCCAGGCTCTGACACAGGGTCTGGGAGGCAGCAGGTTTTACTGACAGAATAACCAAGCCATAAGCAGAAGATGCCATAGTTGAATACCCCTGCCCCACTTTACATGTGGAGAAACTGAGGTGCAAGAGGGACATGGGACTGCCGAGAGGCACACTGTGTTTCTTGGGCATAGCCAGGGTTCAAGGGCTCTGGCTCCTGCTTCCCCAGCTAATGCAATCTCAGAAGTAGGGCACCTACCTGTATCAATGTGGCAGTGCCCCATGGCATGGAGTGTGTGCTGGCTGTCACCCCCACGTTGGCCAAAGAACCGAGAAGCCAAGGCCTGGGCCACTGGGAAAGTCTCAGGCCGGGTAGGGTCACAGACATTCACCATCTGGTTGGCTGTGTACAGGGCCTGGAAGCTGCGTTGGCTGTCCTTCCCGAGGCCCTGTGTGGGGTTCTGCCCCTGAGTCTTTTCTCAAGTACAGCCAGCTCTGGGCTCAGCTGATTTTCCAGGGTTCCCAGAAAGGCCTCCAGCCCTTTATTCCCCCTTAGCACCATTTCCCTTAGGGAAATCTTCCTTCCCTGGGATTCCAGTCTCAGTGACCTAGTTGAGGAAACGAGACATCTAGAACAGGCTCTGGAGGGTGAGCAGTGTATGGGGTGTCAGTACCTTGGCTATGCCCAGCAACAGTTCCAAGTCTACCAGGAGCTTGTGGATGTCCCGGTGGAACACGGCCAGCTCAGCCTGGCTCAGCTGGAACATCTTCTCTGGGTCAGGGGGAGAGATCATGCTTCCTTTTCCAGCCCCCAGCAGTCCATTGCAGGCTACTTCCACATACAGGGTCAGGCTGCAAACATGGGGAGGCAGCTTCAGACCAAGCGGTGCGAAGGACCTCCTGAGACCAGAGAAGAGATTCGGAGGAGGTATCCAGCTGCCTTTCCCAGCCCACCAGCTGGAGGATCCATGGTGGGCAGTTGTGTGGCAGAAACCCTAGCCCTAACCAGTGTCCGGGTGAGTATTCTGCCTTGGTCAGGGATATTAAGTGGCCTGGCTTTGGGAGCCTGTGAATCATAGTACTGCTTACCCTCTTATTACTAAACTGTATAAGCAAAGTACTACCTTTGCCTCAGAACCTACCCTGCATATTAAAAGCGTGACCTTTCAGCTCAGCTCCACCAGCCAGCAAGACTGGAAGCTGTGGTTGGCTAGATAGCTCAGCAGATTAAAGTGCCTGCTTAGGCAGATGCAGGGGCCGGGGGTTTGATCCCTGGTCTGCTGTGCTGGCCCTACCCCCAGGGCGCGCTGAGGCAGTGAATGAGACAGGACATGGTGGTGCATGCCTGTAATCCCAGCACTTGGGAGGCTGAAAAACAGGAAGGATCACTATGAATCCGATCTGTTTAGTGAGACCCTGTACTAAATACATTAAAAAAAAGAAGAAGAAGACTGGATGGGGCTGGGGAGATAGCTCAATAGAATAAACACTTGCCTGGCGAACTCAAGGGCCTGAGTTCAATCCCCGGTTCTGGCGGGGGGGAGGGGGGAGGAGACTGGAAGCTGTTCCACTCACACCTTACAGGGTAACCTCGGCCAAGGGAAGACTTCAATTTCCTCTCAGCCGGGCTCGGTGGCCCACATCTGCAATCCTAGCACTCTGGGTGCTGAGGCTAAAGGACTGATGTGAGTTCAAGGCCATCCTGGGCCATGCAGTGAGTTCAACCCCAGACTGAACTATATATTGAGACCCTGTCTCAAAAAACAAACAACCCCCCCAAAAAAAACCTCTCTTGCTACCTCCAACTTGTCCAGAACACATACCACACTCAACTCCCAGCATTTTCTTTCAGAGCCTTCACTTATCTTGTAGTTGAGTTCTCCCTTCAGCAGTATCAGGGAATGAATCTTAGATCTTCTCATTGAACTGTATCCCCAGCCCCCGTGTGTGTGTGTGTGTGTGTGTGTGTGTGTGTGTGGTGTGTGCACGTGCGTGCATGAGTCTTGCCAAGTTGCTAAGATGCATAGGAAATGGTCAAATTTGCAATCCTACTATCTTCCCAGAGTGCTGGATTTAGAGGCCTGAGCCATCATGCCTGGCTTACATGCTATTCAGGTGTACGTTATTCCCCACCCAATAGGGAGAAGTATCTGAAACACAATGTTCAATACACAGAAAGCACAATAATAATGTCTATGAAGCTCATCAGGTGGTAGCATAAGATATCCATATTATGGGTTGTAATAAGTGAGGGTGGAAAATATCAAAGCAGAGCCAGGTATAGCTCAATAGCAGGTGGCTTGACCAGGAGGAGCAAGCCGCTAGCTTCGAGCCTTAGCATCAGGTCGATGGTGGTGGGAGACTCAATGCACTTTTTATTATTATTTTTCTTTTATCAAAGCACTTTAACTCAGCTAGTTAAAATCATTTTTTACTGAAACACTGAGAATCTGAACACTGAGGGGATAATAACTGTCATCTCTAGGAGGTGGACAGTGGCTGTGCTGGAGGCAGCAGTGCTTCTGAGGTCCCTCAGGCCTTTTCTCTAAGCACCCACCAGGGCAAAGGCACTCACTCACCTTCGGGGGTCTCCTTCTCCCAGCCTGCTGGTGAGGACATAACTGTTCTTCTCACCCTCTGTGGTCAGACCCTGATAGGGAGGGGAGAAAGAGACAGGGCTCAGGGAATGCAGCTGGGGGCCAGACCCTCTGCCTGGTCCTCTTTCCCAAGCAAGCCGCCACATTCCTTAACAGTGAGCAACCTGACCACCAAATGGCACCTGTTTGCCCATGGAAAAGCTCATGGTCTTATGTCAACAGTTCTGGATAAAGGGCCTGGGATATAGCAGTGGCACAGTGCCTGTCTGGCAAGTGCAAAGTTGTGAATTTGATACCTGATGTACCCTGGCAAGTGCAAGGTTGTGGATTTGATACCTGATGCACACACATGTAATCCCAGCATTTGGGAGGCCAAGGCAGGAGAACTGTTGTGAGTTTGAAAACCAGCCTGGGATACAAAGTGAGCTCAAGGCCAGCCTCAACAAAAAGACCAAAAAAAAAAAAAAAAAGTTCTGGATAGGAACTAAGAGAACTGGGTGTGGTCTATGGTTGCCACTGTAGCCTGAATATTTAAATACCTGAAGAGAAAGTCCATGAAGCCAAGGCAGGTGCACCTCATCCCTTGCTATATCTCCAGTACTTTTAGGAGTAGGTACCAGGTGGTTGCACCCCCCAGTTGAGCCAAAAGGGAGGGAAGGTGGGAGGCAGGGGCTGGGAAAAGGACTCTTGTTCTAGGACAGGAAACACCAGTCCTAACCCAGGATTGGGAGTCCAGTTTAGAATGGAAGCTGTGTGAACCAGTGGTTCTTAATCTGTAAGTGAACAGGGTTGGGGTTCAGATGCGATGTTCCTAGCTCTGGGGCTGGGCCACTCACCTGGACTGGCTCCCCATCACGCCAGACTAAGCCTTCTCCATCACTTTCCCAGCAAAGGTGAACTTCCTGACCCACCCACGACTCAGGGATGATCAGCTCCACTCGGAACCAGCAGGTCCACCACCTGTAAGAGCCAGGATGATGTGCCTAGAGGTGGAAGCTCCTCCTGGGTGACTCCTGGATTGAAGTATCAGCAAGAGCTTGAGCCCTGCTCCGAGCTTCTGCTGCAAAGTACTCAGCCACAAGAAAGGAGCAACGGGGAGGGGAGGAGAAAGGCAATTAGAGGCTCGTGTAGGAGTCTCAGGGAAAGGACCAGGTGGAAACTTCCAGGGAGTCCGAAAGGCGTGGGGCACTGCGCCATTCCGGGCGGCAGGTAGGGGAAGAGGGTGGCGGTGTGCCTCAGGCAGGCTCCAACCGGACGTTACCTACGTGGGTCCGAAGCGGTGGCCGACCTGCGCTGGAGAGAAATCCTGCTGTACGGCGTCCTCGTAGCTCAGCCGTTCTGGCGTCAGAAAGCTGGCGAGCGCGGCCACAGGGCACCTGTCCCCGAACAGGCTGGCGGAAGAGCAGGATCCGTTTCCCCGAGTCCTGCCTTTCCACTACCTACGTCTCCCTGGATTTGGCCCTGTCCCGGCTCGCACCTGCCGCGGAGATTGCAGTCTGTGAAATAGAGTGGCGACACGAACTTCTCTACCCGCTCCAGCGCCGTGCGCCAGTGCTTCAGGGACGGCGCGGCCGCGGCCATCGCCAAGCTTCCGCTATTCTGCTTGACGGCTGCGTGCTGCAGAGGACAGGAACCAAAGGTTCCGGCGTCCGCCCTCCCCCCCCCAACCCGGGCCGCTTTCCTTGCAACACTGGCGGCTTTCGGAAGCCCATCCTCAGGCTGAGCTAGTTGTTGAAAACAAGTTGTGATTTCCAGGCTGTCCTGCTTCATCCGCGCAGGCAGGCAGTAGGCAAACCCCTAAAATGACACAGGAAGTGATGAGGACCCTGGGACAGACGTGGACCAATTATTCCACCTGGTGGGTCTCGAAGCGACGTTCAGGAGTGGGCACCTTGTCTACGTCTGGCCGGAGCCCTTAGTCCGGTAGCGCTGAGCCAGGAGGCTCGGGTGGGGGTTTCCATGCCGATGGGCAGCAGTGTGCAAGGGCAGGAAGAGACTTTGCACCCCTCGGTCCTTCCTGTCACACGCTGTACTTCAGGTGCATGAGTTGCTAACACCGTCTAAGCCATAAACCCAGTGGACTAAAGCCTCCAGCCCAGGGGCCAGGCCTGCAATTCATTTGCATCCCTACTACTTGGTATTTTTGTTCTCCCGAAGTAGTCAGTTTCCCTTCTTTCCAAAATCACCAGCAAGGGTGGGGGTGATAGCTCAGTGGCATGAGCGCTTGCTTTGGACAAGCGCAAGGTCCTGAAGTTAAATTCCCGGTACCAAAAAATACAACCACCAGGGGGAAAATTATATAAGGCGATTAGGGACACAACTGTAGCTTAAAGAACTTTCTGCTCTATGAAGAAACAATGCAGGGTGGGTTTTGAGCATGGAAGTGGAAGCCAGATAGTAAGAAGAGTAAAAAACCCTGCATAAACTTGCCTGCAGGTGTAAGACCCAGACTCCATTGGCTGGTTGGCTGAGGGGGTCTTTTTTTTTTTATTTTAATATTTATTTTATTTACTTACTGTGTGTGTGGCCAGCTCAGCCCACCAGGGGGCGGGGCTGGCTGGTATGTGGTGCTGGGGGATTGAACCGCGGTCCCTGTGCTTTGCTTAGCTTAGCTTGTTTTAAGTAGGTGCTTTAGACCACTGAACCATCTCACCAGCCCCGGCTGAGGGGGGGGGTCTTGAAAACTATAATCTGACTTCCAGGAAGGTACACTAGACAACACTGCTGGTCCTGTTCCTCCAGTTCCCTCCACTGGTTCAACTTGGCCAATTCTCCTGAGGGAGCAGACAGGGATGGGCCATTGCAAGACAGCTTCACAGTCTTTCCCGATGCAGTACAGATCCTGCTTGCCCAACTGGAATTCCCACTGCCCACAAACTTTGTGCCACTGTGCACTTTAGGTTGTCTTGTCCCCTGACAACGAAAAATCCTAAAAACAGGTCTGCTTGCTTTAAAAACCCGGGAACAAAAAAACCTCATTTTTCTTCACATAGTATTGATTTTATTTTTAAATTTTATTTATGTGTGTGTGTGTGTGTGTGTGTGGCCAGCTCAGCCCACCAGGGGGCAGGGCTGGCTGGCATGTGGTGCTGGGGGATTGAACCGCGGTCCCTGTGCTTTGCTAAGCTTGATTCTAAGTAGGTGCTTTAGACCACTGAGCCATCTCACCAGCCCAGAACTGAGCTAGGGCCAGGCCCCCTGGTGATTTTAAATTAAAAAGAAAATAAAAACAATTGTTGATTGTAACTAAGTACAGTGATGGCTGAAGAAAAATCAATTAAATTACTAAAGGGTCAGGTTAGCCATATTAAAGTCCTGATGATTCACGTTTAAATGTATGTTACTTGGCTGGGAAGACAGCTTGGTAGACTAAGTGACTGCCTGGCAAGCACAAGGATCTGGGTCCAGTCCCTGCTGGCAACTCAAACCAGGCGTGGTGGTGCACACCTGTAATCCCAGGGCTGGAGAGGCTCAGAAAGGAGTATTGCTGTGAGTCCAAGCTGCGTAGCGAGACCCTGTACCAAATAAATATACATAAATGACATAAATTATGCTAGTTTACAGCCAGCTGTGCTGCTTGTGTGTGCCTGAAATCCCACCACTCAACATTTGAGGCAGGTCTCCTGAGTTCCAGAACAACCAAAGCTCCATAGTGAAATCTTGGCTAAACAAAAGACAAAACAAAAAAAGTGCTACTTTAAATCTACATAATTAACCAGACCTACCCTGAAGGCATCCTGAGCCAGCCAAAGAAAAACAAAAAAAACCCACTTCTTAAATCTACATAATTAGGCCAGGGAGATGGCTCAGTAGAATAAGCACTTGCCTGGCAAGCACAAGGGCCTGAGTTCAATCCCCAGTTTTGCAAAAACAAAACTACATAATTAGAAAATGTTATAGAGCTGGGGATTTAGCTCAGGGGCACCACTGCATGCCTGACAAATGCTAGGTCCTGAGCTTGAGTCTGGTACCAAAGAAAACCCCAACCAAAGTCTGTATGTAGCTCACATCTATAGTTTTTAAAGAAAATCATCAAATTCTCTTCCCTTTTTTTTTTTTTTTTCCGGAACTGGGGATTGAACTCAAGCCCTTGTGTTTGCCAGGGAAGCACTTATTCCACTGAGCCATCTCCCCGGCCCCAAAAGCATAGCGCCCGAACAGGGACTTGAACGCTGGACCCTCCTTCCTTCCATTTTTATCTTAGGACTTACATACAACTTTCATGATTTGGTATGTTGAATTATTCATAATAAAAATAAAGAGAAATAGGGCCGGCTAAATAGTTCAGCAGATTAAAGCACTTGCTTAGGCAGGTGCAGTGGCCAGGATTCGATCGCCAGCCTGCCATGCCAGCTGCGCCCCCAGGGCCTGCTAAGCTGGTGATTGAGACTGGGCATGGTGGCACAAGCCTATAATCCCAGCTCTTGGGAGGCTGAACACAGGCAGATTACTGAATCTGATCTACATAGTGAGATCCTGTATTAAAATACACATACACACACACAAAAAGAAATACACTTCAAATATAAAATATTTTCACTTAATTGCAGAGGTGAGAAATTACACTAAAAGAATAAAGTAGAAAAAAAGTCCAGGGACTGCAGAGATGGCTCAGTGGAGTAAGCACTTCCCTGGCAAGAGCAAGGACCTGAGTTCAATTCCCGGTTCCACCAAAAAAAAAAAAAAAAAAGAAAGAAAAAGAAAAAAAAAAGTCTATTTTAAAATCTTGGGAGATGTTGATTTGGGACAGGTACAGGTAACTATTACTTTTTAAAGCAAAATCATGTTTGTACCCCGGAGAAGGAACTGAAGCCAGTTCTCTGATAAGGACAAGGGACTTGTGTTGAGAATTTATTCCTTAAGAACCAAGCTTTATTTATTAAAAAAAAAAAAAAAAGAAAGAAAGAAAGAAAGAAAGGAAAGAAAGAAAGAAAAAGAAGAAAAACGAAAAAAGAAAAAAAAAAAGAAAAAAAATGTTGGGGCAAAGGGGAAGACAAGTTTTACACAAAAGTACTACAATAGTAACTCCCTTTGGTAAAAAGTGTAATAAATGTCTTATACATCTCTTTATAGGTACTAAATCTGAAGCTACAAGAGTACTATGGTACACAAGAAGCTACAGCAATTACACTAGCACATCAAAGCATATTTCTTTTAATAAAAAATTGACAGTATATACATTATTTACAAAAAAAAAGTTAAAATTGCGTGTGTGTACGTGTGTGTATGTGCACATGTGTGTCAGAATAAAGCTGGTGGATAGCACTAGGGAGACTAGTAAAGAAGCAGGTACAAAACAGTTCCACAGGAGCTAAAAAGGATGACTGATTTGAACTTCTTGAGGCTGAGAACCAGAGGAGAGAAGGGATGAGCAGCAAGGGATTCATCAGGAATCAGATTCATAAGATGATCAATCCCAAAGCCAACTGCAGGTCCCACATAAAACCTAATGGGTGACTTAGATGTGCTCAAGTGACAGGGGGATGCGGGAAGAGAATCAAAGAAATCCAGTCTCTTTTCTGTTGGTGGGAGAGAGGAGCCGTGAACATCCTGGTTATGATCCATTTGACCAAGTCCTTCTCTGGTCTGTTTTGTAAGTGCATCTCCATCCAGTTGAAGCACGAATAGCACGGGTTCCTCCATTTATAGGTGTAGGTCAGGTTACCGGAGACACAAGTCTTAGCTCTGCTGGTGTAGCAAGCAACCACATGTCTCTGTGCTTGCATGGGCTTTCTTCCCCTTCAGGGCAGGCCAATAGCCAACATCCCTGGGAAGCGCCAGCTCCGGCTTTGCAAGGTGTCCACCTTCCTTAGGAGTACATCCCAGCTGGTGACAGACAGGCTGTGCCAGTGGCCATGTCCCAGGGAGGCCAAGGGGGGCTGGAAAGGCATCTTCCTTGCTTCTTCAGGATGTGTGAGTGGACATGCCTGCCCACCTGAGTGCACATGTGTGTGCACGTGTACATACACACACACACACACACACACACACACACACACACACACACCCCTCAAGTTACTGCTCTGGCTTTGCAGTTAAGGAGCCTTGAACACTGTGCCGTATTTGACACGATACTTGTTAATGCTTACAAAGTGCAGGGTCTCTGTGTCACAGGTGGTGGTACAGGGCACCAGGCCCTCCAGCCCCTCACCCATGAGCCACTTGCTGGTCTCTGCTGCCATTTCACGAGGTACATGCTCCTTGGTCCATTTATCTACCCAGGCCTGAAACCTCTGATGCAGGCGCTTGCTAACACGTTCATGGGACTACAAAACAGAAAAGAGGGGAAATTAAATAGCATTTAAAGATCTCTTCAAATACAAACTACAATTTTGGTCAAAAGTAGTAAAAGAAAGATGTGGGCTCAACTTGCAGATGTTACTGGTTGAAAAGAAGAGGAGGGGGAGGGAGAAGAGGAGGGGGTGAGGAGGAGGAGGGGTGAGGGACAGGAAGGGAGAACAGAAAAAATAAAAGAAAAAAGAAAAGAGAAAGGTAACTGGCTTTACTGTTTAAGAAGTGGGAGAGGTGAGACTATAGAGTGCTAGAAAAAGGCAGATCGAGCAACACAGCTGCAGGGCAGAATATAGAACACCACTGTACTCAAGTTCAGCATGCACTAATATCACCAGGGAATTTGTTAAAAATACATATTTACTCACTTTCACAAATCTTCTCTTAAAAACAACATACCTCCCCCTTCCCCTGCAGTGCTGGAGATCAAAGCCAGGGGCTTGCTCGAGCTAGCTCAGCTCTACCAGCGAGTTTAACTCCACAACCCAAACTACACTTTAGATAGCAACTTGGTTGATCTGAACATAGCTGA